GTTTGGGGCAGGGAAGGTTTCTGATTGGATAGGGGGCGGGGCGGATGTTACGTGTTTACGTTTACCAGAAGAAAACACTGTAGTCCTCACTCTGGATAACAAGATGCTTGACGACGCCGTTTTTAGTGCCTTTTTTTGGCTTGTTTTGCTTATATTCTTGAAGCAGCAGTACGACAACAACCTTCTTTTGCTAATGCTTCGTCTGTCGAGGAGGAGAAGGGAGGTAGAAGGTCGAAGAAGGGAGATAGAAGACCGTGCTTTGGCATATGGAAACATATGAGTGCAACGAGTCCGACTGCTCTATCTCGGCCTGTTGCTATGCGCGCTATATACGTCATCGCGCCAGAAGGGCAAGGAAACGAGCATGCGTAGAAAGACCGGAATAAACTTAGAGAGGAATGAGTGTTTACATGCACACAAAATTCTTTCATTCAGAATGACAAACGGAATAATCCACCCCCTTTAATCGGATTTAATTTTCAATCTGAATGGCCTTTCATTCCGAAAGTGAAATTAAACTGTCCATGTAAACATACTGACAGTTGAGAAAGGCTTGAGATTCTCGTGACATCACCCAGAGTCAGAAATGGAGGACAAACCTCTTGTCACCATCTGTGGGCACTCGTCAGCCCTGTAAAGAGACAGAACAAAAAAAGGAGAGGGCTTGGAGAAAAGTGAGCAAAGCCATAGGACTACATGGTTAAGTCTGAAAATATGTATTTCTTACTTATGTTAGATATTTTGTTAAGCTGCCTCTTAGCAAAACGTTCTGAGTAATTTAAGTTTTATTTTTAAAGGTAAAAACCGAAAGAGTGAAGCACTGAGCAGTAAAATGCTGTGGATGATGTGAAAAATAATCAAGCGTGTTGCCATCTTGGTTCGGCTGGTTCGGAGCATTTTGCTAAGAGGTAACTCAACAAAACATCTTGTGCTTTTATCTCAGCTGGTGGTTTCACTTTACAACAAACCAGGTGAGCGCTAACGTTGATGTGAGCTGCCTTCCATAGTCAGTTAGCACAAGTGTTAGCACAAATACTCCTAGCTTCTCATTTGGTCAAAACAACTTTAAGACATGTCCATGCTTTGTTGTGCGACATAAAATCAACAGTAAATGACCACTCATGAATACTGAACCTTCTACAGTCACCTTTTACACTCGCTGTTCATGGCGGGAATATCGCACAGTTATGACGCATATATAGGGTACGACCGCAGAAATGGGGAACAGAGTGGTCTCGCCTTTAAGTCGCCATGGGAAGTAGTAACAGCGTCACAACTATGTCTGTATAAATTGTGAAAACGATGAGATTCAGGAGCTTAGGAATTCTCCAAGCAGAGGACGACAGCAGCCGCCATATAACAGAGACAGTAAATGATTACTGACACGTTTATGCCATTGTTACAGTTTAGAAAGCACTGACATGTATGTTGTATGTCACACTAGACCTGCCATGCTCTTGATTCCACAACGCCAGCATGCTGTCTATAATCACAAACTGGGGCAGCATAATGCGGCCATTGGTAAGTTCTGTGCAAAAATGCAAAGGCGGCATGAAGAAGGGACTTCGTAGCGACCTTATGGCGCGATCTCTGTGTAAAAAAAGGTTTATAGGGCTTTTAACTTTTTTAATCTTTTTTCTTTATAGTCTTTTATCCTTTATTATATTTTATTGCTCTGTTTAAACACTCTGAACTTCCCTTGTGTATAAAATGTGTTATCCAAATAAAGCTGCCATGTGTTCTGTGTGTGTAAAAAAAGTACTAACAAGGGGCTTGTCAGGGACATTGAACATCATCATGCCAAACACAAAATCTTAGCGGTAACACTGAACTGATGCGATTGTGGTGTATTTCGTTGACAGCCTAATGTTAGGTTTTCACTTCTGGCGACTGCATTTACGCTTCAGAATCAAATAAGTGGTGTTAATTACTGAAGACTATCTTGATTAACAAAATGTTTAAGTATCATAAATGTTTGTTTGCCACAAAGCTTATTTTCTGCAATAATCCAAAGTCCACAGAGAAAATCCCGTTTGCTTTCTGTCGAGATAACCGATGTGATGTCAACTTCTGGGTGGCCTGCAAAAACTGTCATTTCTGTACCGCTCTATACAACGGAAGTTACTCAAATTAAATTAGGATGGGATAGAGTTGCTTAGTTGTCAGAGAGAACTGTTACCACATGACACGTGGTCGTACACGAGGACAGACTGTAAATAGTGTCACTGTTCCAAGGATCTCCTTGGTGGAGATCATCCTTGGTGGTAGGGGTGGGAATCTCTTGGCACCTCACTATTCGATTCAATTCTGATTCCGAGGGCAACGATTTTGATTATAAAACGATTCTCGATTCTAAAACAAGCCAATAAGAAAATTTACACTAGATATTGAAAAACATTATTGCAATAAAGCTGGGAATACATATCCAGTGCATACAAACTGTATGACTTACTGTGGTTAAGATGACTACACTCCACCAGTCTCCTCTGGTCCATCCTCCTCATCCACAAATCTCAACGGGACTCTCCTGTCCCTCATCGACCTCCTCGACATTTCTCCTCCAGTATTTACAAAACTATAACTGACTATAACTATCTATGAACTATGAAAACATGAACTATTGCAAAAAAGACGAACGATGGCAAAACGACAAACTATGGTGA